ACTGTCCTATCTCAAAGCACCTGTGTGGGTACAGGTTCTCAGCCCCAAGTAGAATGAACCAGGATTTGGAAAGACAAAAGATTTGTGGCAGGATAGGGATTGGGGCCAGGCTTTTATTTAAGCTCTCTATCTACGAACCAATCAGCAGCAGCCAAGCACACAGCACAGAGCATTAACAGCAAACTGCTCACAGGTTCATATTCTGCCAGCCAGCCTGTCCTCCAGTGGTGCTTGTTTATACCCTCATTAGACAAAAGTGGCAGAAGGCCAACTATGGTTAAATAAGGCCACACAGAGGCACGTAATCTCAAGGTTACACAAAGGTTACCAACAGAACATGCATACATGATGAAGTTACATGAAGAGGCTGAACCAGTAGCATCAGGGTCCTTGGGAAGTATAAGCCCAGAGCTCTGTGCAACTATGGTGAGAAAGCCTGACTTACTACTTTTACCCTTAAAAACTAGTCTTAGAGCCATTCCGTTCCTTCTTTTCTTGAAGATTAAAGGAAATAATGGAAGTGGCAGGGTATCACCCAAACCAGTTCCTCTTTTTCTAGAGAAGCAGATTTAAGTTGCATAATTATTAGGACTCAGGCAAACAGGAGAGCTGTAATGCAGATTTTGCCACTTCCTATAATCCTTAGCTGCTAGAGCCTGAGTCTCATTTAAAGAAGGCCAGGGCTGTATTCAGAACATGCAAAGATGGTTTTTCTAATTTTAGGACAGACAGAAAAGGTAGAAAACAAGCATTACAAGTCTCAAATATTCCTAATGCATTTGGTTTTTTTTTAAGATAACAAGTAAAGAAAAGTTCACGTATAGAAATATCCAAGGTATTCTATTTCTATCAAACTGTAATTAAAAAAAAGAAAGAAAAAAAGAGGGGGTGGGTCAGTACACCTACAGTACAAACAGGAAAGGCCCAGAAAATTTACATGGCCATTTAAAAGGCTCATAAATTCCCAAGATAACCATCTATTCAGGAAGGGAAAAGACAATGTTACAGAGACAAACTCAACACTGTCACCTAACAAATACACCTGTTACAGAAGTGAAACATTCAATTTCACTTCATTGTGATAAAACTAAAATCACTAACGGCAGGCTAACATCTGACCAAAGGTGCCAGGGTTTTTTCAATGTGGGTGGATTCAACAAGATAAGGTGAGTTATGGGGTAAATACACCTACCACATCAGTCTGGAGCTAGGTCCCAGGGTTAACATACTATGTTAGTATTCATCCAAGGCCTGGATAATTTGAATGGCTTAAATATTCTAGGACAAGGACTTGCACTGACCAGCTGTTAATGTCAGAGATTTTTTTTTTAATGCATTCTTATAGCAACTGGAGGAAGGGAGGCATTGGGATCACTTTACAGTGAGAGAAAGCTTTGCTGAAAAGACTTGATACCTTTTATGTATATGTCAACTAAAGGACATTTTTGATAAAAAAAATAACTTTCTCTGTGCTGGTGGCCAGTAATCCTAGCTACTCAGGAGGCTGAGATCTGAGGATTGCAGTTTGAAGCCAGCCTGGACAGGAAAGTCCCTGAGACTCTTATCTTCACTTAACCGGCAAAAAAGCTAGAAATGGAGCTGTGGCTCAACTGGTACAGCACTAGCCTTGGGCACAAAAACTCAGGGACAGCAACCATGCCCTGAGCTCAAGCCCCAGCAGGACTAGCACCAAAGAAAAAGTTTTCAGACTGATGCCAGGAAGGTCTCTCTGCTGATTTTTTTTTAAATTTGTATCTTTTGAGACATAGTTCTACAATGCCCAGACGCGTCTCAAATTCCTAGCCTAGTATCCTACTACTGGTACTACAGGCACACCCAACATGCCCCTACCGGATATTTTTCATGCTCTGTAATATATGTTTATGTGTGTATGAATATACAAAATCAGTAAAACTAACTTTATAATTGGTTTAAGTTATAAAAAGAATTTTCCCTGAATCTTCCACTATTAATGTATTTTACAAGATTAAAAAAACACTTGTATATAAGCAGAAATTTAAAGCATGCTAAGAATGTGGAAGCATTTGTATGTTCACATGTTGTGGACACATCTGTATCTTCTAAAAATCTGGAATGAACTTGAGGTCCTTTGTTTGCTGATCCAGTAAAACAAGGTAATTGTATGGCACACATAGAAAGCTGTCAAGAGAACCGGGGAGCAACGTCCTAGAGGATGAGTTTATGACAGGTTGTCTTTAGAAGAATTTGAATCCCATGGACAAGTAGAAGGAAGCCAAATAAGTTAAACACGTCAAGAGTGGTCCTATGGGAAGAAGCTATGACAAAGACTCACTAACTGCAGGGCTGTGCTCTCAAAGCCAGCTTGATCCCTGAACTAGCATTCTCTGCCTGTTGCATCAGAGCTTTGTAAATCTAAAAAAGAACACTGACTGAGACTATTCAAAAGGTTAAAAAAAAATCAGTTAAAGAGCAACTTCTTTTCCAATAGTCATTTGCAAAAAGCTTCAGGTGGAAAGCATTTTTTCCCTTTTACATTAGTAAATGAAAATGCACAAGGGTTGTTCATACCACACACTGTAATACAATTTGCATGGATTCACTTAACAAGATAGATCTATTCACAATCACTGCAAAAACTAAAGCATCTTCATATTAATCACAGGCAAGTTCTTGGCTCTGCAAAAGTGAGTGCAAAAGTGATCCAAGTGCTTTTTGAGCAGAAACTGTCACCAGTGTCTAAAACAATGCTGAAAACCAGTGATCCTGCAAATCTGGTGCCCACACAAGTTACACTAGACCATATAACTTGCTCCAGCAAGCAAACATGAGATCCTTTCTGAGTTCCTCCTTCCCAGAAGACTAGAATTGTTCTATATAACTACTCTATATTTAGTGCATTTTCAGTGAATTCAACCATAAGCTTTCACTACTTCCTCTTTAAATTTGTTAGGTTACTTCATCATGTCACAATTTACTCATTTAAAGAAGTTCACTATGTGAAAAAATTTTTTAATAAACAGCTAGCTAAAGACCTGTAAGCTAAAACCAATTCAGAATTAATTTTATAAAGAAACCTTCAAAATACAATACACACACACACACACACACACACACACACACACACACACACACACACACACACACACACACACACACACACACACACACACACACACTACAACCCCAGAAATGACCTAACCAATCTTGTTTTTGTTTTTTGTTTTCTGGGGGTACTAGGGATTAAACTCAGGCCTGGCAGATATGCTGCAGCATCACTTGGGATAATCCCTGTCCTTCTCCCAGTTCTTTTACTTTTAGGTGGGTTTTCCTGGGGGAAAGGAGGACCAATGATGAGGTTTGAACTCAGCTGCTTTGCATTTGCTGGCCAGGCTGTAGGCATGCTTTTTGTGCTGTTATTTTTGATACAGTCTTGTTTTCTGCCTGGTGAACTCCCAGAAAATGACATGCATATTTTAGGCTTCTCATTGTAGCTAGAGTAACAGGTGTTCTCAGTTGAGAAGGGGTCTTGTGAACTTTTCTGCATAGGTTGGCTTCAAACTGTGATCCTCCCAATCCCATCTTTCCAAGTAGTCCGATTATAGGTATCAGCATTTCCAACTTTCAGTTAGGGTCAGGTACCCTTGGAATCCCAGGAGCAAGAGGTGCTAAGAAAGGACTGAAACTCTTCCCAGTAGCAGCAAAGCACTGAGTATTCTCCTCTGTTCTCTTAGAGCTACTATTTTCAAACTTTCTGGGTATTTTTATGCTTTAGATGTGCCCATCATAAATAGTTAATAAAAATTAACAGTGTTTTCAATATGAAAATCTTTAGTCTTTAACAAATATAATCTATTTACTGAAATTACTGATATTTTTGGACAGATTATTACATCTTATTTCCGTTACCATCACTGTTGGAAGATAATTCAGTTGGGTAGAGAACCCAAGGTTCAGGCTCTACTCTACTGCCCTCCAGAATCTATGGTTACTGAAGAAAAGTCACTGTATTTCAATAGGTACTCTCACAGATGTCATTTTTCTCTTCTTGTTTTTAAGAATTTTGATATTCCTTAGTTTTATGACACTGTCTGAATTATTCTCCTATTTAGACAACTTCTCTTTTCAAGACAACTTTTCCCTACTTTTTTATAATTCCCACACACTGATGTATATGAGAAGGAAGAGGAGGAAAGGGGAAAGAGGGGGAGAGGAAGAGGGATTGTTCAGATTAGAAAGACTACTTCAAATAGGTTAAGTAACTTGTCAAACGGCTCACAGCATGTGAGCATTACAGCCAATGCTCAAACATCATAAACCCAATCACTGAATACATTAGATACCAGCTCATTGCCTAAGAACACACACTTAGCACAGCTGCAAACAAGACAAAGTCAATGATGGTTCTATCATTCAAGAATATAAGTACTTCTTTTTTCTTTTGTTCTTTTCCCCACCATGGTTAAACTCCTTTGTCACTGCATTTGACTTTGGTACCCTGTCTATTATATACATTTATCTGAACTAAGGTAGGGAAGGGGAACAACAAAATGGTGAGACAAAGGGTGAACCAATGCAACGGCAATATTCACATGACAATATATATGTTGGAAATGAACTTTAGAACTTGAGGGGGGTACAAGAAAAATGAGGAAGGGGTTAACAATGGTCGACAAGAAATGTACTCACTACCTTACATATGTAACTGAAACCCCTCTGGTACATCATCTTGACAATAAAACTAACTATATTTTCTGAAAAAAGAATATAAGGACTATTATTCTCTGACTATGAATTAGAATGTGACAAACTAGTTATCAAACTATAATACATTAAATATGACACAAGCATTCAATATGTACTGGCCTAAATCATGCCTCAACAATGACAGCCTTATTCTGAAAGTAGTGTTTAATATCATTGATTTATTTCAAATACATCTAGCAAAGGTGATTAAGACTGTGATTCAAAGCCATTTACACAAGTATTTAGGAAAGAAAAGAGGGAAAGGATTAATTTACCTGTGCTACTTCTTCAAAATCTTCATGGCGTTTCTGCAAAGCTCTGGCCCGATGAAGAGATTTCCCTACGCCTGTGTGTTTGCTCAAAAAAGCTTCTCCATGATTTTCAATCCAGTCCAGCACCTACAATAAAATGCAGCCACGTGTCATTAAAACAATGCCTATCTTGTCCAGTGAAGTCTGTAATCAATTCATTAAGATATTAGAAAACCAGAACAAAGTACTTAGATACTAAATTAACACATTTGGTAATTACACCTTAAATAGGCCTCTCTACCAGGACTTTACTCAGATCTTAACGTAAATCTTAACGTAAATCTTTCTATATATAAACAATACATGCAGTAATGATTCAATTCATTCTCACTTCATTTTATATACAACTAAGCCACTAATCAGACTAGGTTCTGTGCATTAGAGCAGTTATCAAAGCATGCAGAACCAGTTAACTAGGTAATTTTTGAAGACTTAAAGCTTCACAACCCAGGTACCTAAAGTTCAGCTGTAGATTTTCTCTTATGTGTACATTAGAAGATCAAAATATGTAAGTAAACCCTCAGCAAACAAGACACATGCCTCAGCCCTGGTCTTGGAGGACAGTTTATTCTATGAAGTAAGACATTGTAAAAAGGTAAGCATTCTATGAACTCAACTACTTAAGGGTTTTTGTTAGTTAACATGTACTAAACTAAAGGAAAAAAAACAAAGTAGTACAACTTGATGCTTTATAGAGTTCATAGCTGAGACTCAGTAAGAATATGTCCTTGGTTTTCCTACTGAGAAATCATAGGACACTGACAATATCTAACAAATATTTGTATTACATCAAATGAATACTGTCTCTCTTTGACTGAAAAGCACAAAACAGCAAGTATATCAGTATCTAACTAAAAACACTTATCTGAACAATTTTAAATATTTTAAATGTATTTGTTAATGTACTATTAAAGTGCTGAAGGCTTAATGATACTGGTAGCTCATTTCTTGGTACTTAGGAAGCTAAAAATGGGAGGACTGTGTTTGCAGCCCAGCTTGGATAGAAAAGTCCATGAGGAGCCATCTCAACAGAGGGAAATCGATGCCACAGTGTGTACCATGCAACCACAGGAAGCCTAATACAGAGGGATTAGGTCCAGGGACATGTGGAGCATGCTGTAAGACCCTCCTCAAAAATAACCAGCAGGTAAAAATGGGGCTGGAGGCATAGCGCTGTTGTAAAGAACTTGTTTAAGCAAGCCCAAGTCCAGAAGTTCAAAGCCAAGTATAGACTGTACTCCTCTCCCTGAAAAAAGTGCTCAAGATTCACACTTTGGATGTATGCAACTGTGGTGTTGGTTCATTAAGATGCTCTAGCAAGATGCGTTAGGCCAGATTATCTGTAAGCAGGAGCACAGTTCAGGAGCTTAATACGTCCAAGATGGTTACCTTCTACTTGTCTTCATGTGGTCCAAGTTTGGGACCGGGTACAAGGCATTAATTCCACTCAGGAAGGTTAAGCCCTGATCTAATCACCTCCTAAAGGCCCTATCTATCAAGACCAATAAATGCTGGATTACATTTCAACATAATCTTGTAGGAGGCACAAATATTCAGATGACATCAGGTACCTGAATATACAAACTGAAAGAACGTGGATGGAAGAAATGTGGCATACCAAGCAAAGACAGTTTTCTGAAGGGCAACCTAGAAAGAGGCCAGCCTTAGCTTCAATGATGGCAAAATGAAACAGACTCAACTTGAGGTTCATTGCCACAAAAGGGGGATCTTCCATGATACCCATGGATCATGGAAAGATCATCTATGCTGGCAGAAAAAGAGATAAACTTGCTCTCTACTGTTCAACACCAATGTGCTTCAAAATTGATGGCCTTTCTGTATGCTAGTACTTCACATAAATAAAATGCCTATCAATCTTTACAAGCCTCTGGTTCTCAGTCAAGACCCTTGCAGAACTGGCAGCAGCTGAGACAGAAGCAGTTGTTGGGGGGTGGGGAAGTAGAGAAAGTAGGTGCTCAGTCCAAAGCTATATGCCTACCTTGTAACTACAGTTCATTTCTAAATCTTTTCTGTCATTGCTAGCACTCTGCCAGTCACATGGCATTGTAATATGTAGAGTAACCCTTACTGGGTCCGGCTGTGCTGTCAATGCAATCTAATCTGTCACCAAGGGTCCCCAACTCTCCTTCTGAAAGCCCTCTTACTGCCACTACTTCCTTGCTGGACCCCTGCGCAAAGACAGAATCTGATGGCTTATTTTGGGGAATATTCTGTAACCTTTCCAAGCTTCAGTTTCCCTCCCTGCTCAGTGGTAGTAATCATGATGAGTTGTATTTGACAATATCTATGGTTAGCATCTTAACATCAGGGAGGCAAATACACAGCTCACGTCTGGCCCATTTCCATGTAATTGACACCTAGCACATTTGCTTTCTCCTAGTACATTCCACATAAGATAACAAAAGAGTCCTTTTCCTTTTCCTTCACTACTGCTATATTAATTTTCTACCAGACTTCATGGCAGATCTAAATGATAGCTTCTTGGTATACTTTATAAAACACAAGTCCTATTCCCTCCTAAAGGAAGGTCTCAACTTTAAGCTCACTGTACCTCTAAGAATGAGTGCATTTATTGAAACATACCTCTGGGCATGAAGTTAATACCCTGCAAAAGGGAAGTATAAAATATTTTAAATCTGAGGATTTGGAGGTAGCTAAGTAATACCTAGGCATCAGTCCACCACCTGTAAGGTCTTCATGAAGGGTTAAGGGAGACATTAAAAAAAAACCTAGAAAATTATAATATAATCTATATATTCTTTAACTTTAAACCATCAGAAAGCAGCACATCTGATTTTTACTGCTAACCTCACAGAAATATGAAATAACGGCATGATTTAAAAATTAAATATAAACAGTAGTTAAAAACTGAAGGAAACACAGTATTTAAAAGATTTAAAACATAGTATTTAAAAGCATAATGAAGGTATTCCAGGAAGTGTAAACTGAAAATAAAAGCTACCATTCAGGGTTACTATGAACATTTCTTCATGTTTCTGCATTTTTCTTTTAGCATCAGTTCCCTTAGACAGAAATGTAAATAACAGAAAAATAAGATTCCTTCTAATATTGATTCAAAGAAGAATGAATAAATTCCAAACACATTATTAAAATAATGGCTACAGTTATGAATTCCAGCTAATATTCACAAACTCTTCTATAAAGCTATTGCTTCTTTTACAAGTATGGGTAGATATCCCAGATAAACAGAGTTGTAAAAATCAATGTATTTATTGTAATTGTTAAAGACATGCTTGTGAAATTGTTCACTTTAAAACAGAAAAGCAGCCCGGCTCCAGTGGCTCATGCCTGTAATCCTAGCTACTACTCAAGAGGCTGACAACTAAGTATCACAGTTCAAAGCCAGCCCAGGGCAGGAAATTGTGTGACACTCTTATCTCCAATTAACCACCACAAAACTGGCACTGTGGCTCAAAGTGAACAAAAGAGCCCAGACTCCAAGTTCAAGCCCCACAATCCACTAACAAAAATCCCCAAACAACAACAACAACAACAAAAACCAGAGGCTGGAAACCCAACACAACTCTCCTCTCAGAGTAGACAGCATGGTATCAGCTCCTTTCTCTGTATGCTGGTGCCCTCTAATGGACACAAATGACAGTTCCAAGGTTAAGGCCAAGGCAAAATACAATGGCCACACTTAAAACACAAGTGTTTAAGCCAAATGTGTAGGAAATCATGCATCAAGTTCAGTCTAACTCCCTGTTTGTTCTAAAAAGGAAATCACTGTCCTAATTAGAAGATTGACATAGTTATTATCTGAGCATCTGCTACTGAAGCAAATATGACTTATGGGCTATATGTGCATGAAGCCATGGTTCTTACAGTATACCACTGGGACAAACAATCCCAATTTCCATTTAACAGATACAGCACAAGACTGGATCCTCAGTTACTTTATGGAGGAGCCAGTCTACAGATTTGGACCCAGGTAAGCCTGCCCTCACAGCAGTCTCTTAAGCTGCGTATATAATACCCCTTCTTTGAGTTGTGACAGTTGACATATACAGGCAGTGCAACTAGGTAGAGAGAGGGAAAAACGGGGGGTAGGGGACTTCATATTTTTGACTTAGAATAGTTAAGGCTATATGTAAGAAATGCAAATCAGCCAACACTTACCAACTGGCTATTAAATAAATACCCAGGACAGGCCACAGGCACTCATACCTGTACCTCTCTGACACAGTTCTAGTTTTCTAGAATTCTGGTTTTCTTTAATAAAAACCTACCACCAAATACTTACCATGTTTTGTGGATTCCTATGTCTAAGTAATTATTATTAATTGGGAAAAAATACTAAACTTCACCAAAGAGGAAATTAATTCTCACAAAGTCCAGCTCATATGTTCCTTTAAAATGCAGACATTTATTTCAAATACTTCCTGAAGCATTCGGTTTAATCATTATCACGCTCTACATCCTTGCCAAATGATGCTGTATCAGCTTTATCTACTGAGTTGTTCTTCTATTTGTACTTGCAAGGGAATGCAGTCTCCTAAAATTCCAAATGCTTTTCCAAAACTTATTTCAAAATGTGACAACAGAATGTGGTGGTAGAACTTGACCTGGGGGTATTTATAGATCCTTTTAGGCTATCCAGACTCCGCTAGATGGATCACAATTCATATAGGGTAATTTCTAAACTCGGTAATTTCTAAACTTTCCAACACTGTAAACTCCAAGTCATCTCTATTCCCAAGAGTTATAACTAAACAGAAGCAGCCAGCATCTCTCCCTCTTTTCTTCACAGAACTAGGGTTTGAACTTGGCTTCACACTTGCTAGGGGGGCACTCTACTCTATGTAACTATATAACTATATATATATATGTATATATATATAACTAAGTAACTATAATTATACACACACACATATAGTTAGTTAGTCAGTCAGTCAGCCATGGGGCTTGAACTTAGGGCCTGAGCACTGTCCTTGAGCTTTTTTGGGGCTCAGGGCTAATGCTTTACAACTTTGAGCCACAGCTTCATTTCCAGTTTTCTGGTGGTTAACTGGAGATTCGAATCTCACAGACTTTCCTGCCCAGGC